ACGGGGGACGCGCTGCCTTCTTCCTTGGTCAGGCCGGCCATTCTTTTTGCCTTTAAACTTGCTTTCTCTGTGGTCTCTCACACTACTGATGTCTGCTCCGTGTCTAGATTCCCAGGGTTTGTTTTGCCGTGCCTTGGAGTTCACCCGGTTCAAGAGGTTTCGCCAGAGGAGCAGCGCAGTGTTACTTTGCAGGTAAAACAGGCAAGTTAGATTAGCGCAGCTATGAAATACTGCTGGGACTGCTCAGGGCAGATGACGGGATGCTCTGATCTGCCTGATTTAACTTCAGATTTTCTGCGCTTCTGTAGTACAGAAGACCCAGCGGATCAAATCCCAGGGTCTCTTAGCACATACGTTTGTCTGTGTTAGTCCTAAAGCAGAACTGTTCACTGGAGTCATCTGGCCATATTACTGCAGTGAAACAGTTTTTAAAATCCCAAGTGAGTGCTTTGCTTGCAGCGAACAGCATGCCTGTGCATTTGCAGATGTCCCTTTGTTAGCATGGGAAGTGGAAAGCAACCGTATGTGCCTTTAGCCTGAAAAATGTGGAGCTGTCTGAAGCCATTTAGTGTTACCAAGCTTTTTATGAGCCTTGCTTTAATTACTGTTTCTGCTCCTGTGGAAAGATAACTTGAAATTAAGGATCACTAAGTAAAGAAGGGAAATCCTGCAGGTTTCTAAAATCTGTCTGACCGCACAATTCACAGTAATAGCAAATTTTAAGGTGCAGAATTTAAGAATGATGAAGGAAACCCCAATTTAATCATAATGCTGAGTTCGTAACCCTTCCATCTTGTAAGGGCAGTGAGGGTTGCATCTTTAATTTATCTTGCAGGATCTAGATGCTGCATTGCCGCTTATAGAACTCTACAAAGATAAATTGGTGGGGATTGGAGAAGTAAGTAGAATTCTGTAACTTGTTTAAATGCCTATGGCTTTGGCAGCACCTGTCACCAGAGTTACAAAAACTTAGTGAATGGTTGGTTGTGCGTATGCAGTAAGTATTGCTGTCAGTCTGAACAAGCGCTAAGTCTGATTTGTAATTCTCTTAATGTGCTTTCCTTCATAGATATGCCTGATTCCATCTTTTCCTTCATTATCGTTATTAGGAAATAGACGGCATTTATGCTGGTGGATTTAGTAGGAAGATTGCATAATTATGCTATATCGTCTTATACCCAAATGTCTTTTGACCTGTTCTCTGGCACAGTGAGATGTCAAGTCACATTGTTAACCTCATTCAGATCTTTCCTGCCTTCTCTGACAAAGTTAGGCTAAGCTATGATTTCAGCACACCTCAACGACTTGTACAATCCTCTTTTCTTGTGATCCCTCATCTGTCTGTATCCATGTGTTGTCTCCTGTCTTACATTTGTTTATAAACTATTTGAGGCTTGAAAGCTTTAGGGTAGAGTCTGCCTAGTTTGTGTGTTGGTACCAGAGGGACTTATGACTGGTTCTGCACTGGCTGCAGAAAAAGCAGTTACTGGCAGAGTTTTGTAGCTAAACTTGCTGTGTTGTACTTGTACTGTATATCAAGGACTTTGGTTGGTGTAACTACGAATGGGGCTGCTTTGGCAAACTTTAAATTTTGCCTGAACATGTTTAAATCAAAAAAAGTATAGAGTTACTGGTTAATATTTGCTAGAGATAGGACTAAAGCTACAGGTTCAGGCCAGAAATTTTACTTGTATTGGAGATCTAGGTTTGAGGCTTAATCTGTGAAATAATATTCAACAGAATGTAAAACCTCAGAAAACCAGTTACAGGTTAGAATGTTAAATACACTTGTTAGGAACTATCTGCCCCCAAATGCTTTCATAGTTGAAAAGCTTATGGTTGAGAATGGATTCCTTTCTGAGTTAAGCTACAGTTGAGCTCATTTTAGTTGCAGTCTCTAGTATACATATTTTGAAATGCCTTGCAGTTTTGAAGCATTTTTTGCCTTCATATATGGTATTGTGGTCTAGTCAAGCATTAGTTCCATAAAATTTTTTCACTTCTCTTCTTGTGCTGTAGGTTGGACTAGATTTCACTCCCAGATTTGCCAGCACGGATGAACAGAAGGAAGGACAAAGACAGGTGTTGATCAAGCAGATTGAGTTAGCGAGAAGACTGGATTTGCCTTTGTAGGTTTTGTTTATACTAGTAGGAGAATTTCCCACATCTCAGTAACATGTGGAAATATTTCCCAGGATTTATAGTTACTAAGACTCCACAGAATTTTTCTTACATGGATTAAACTGGCATTAGTGTCCTGTCAGTCTCCAGTTTGAGATTTAGTTAATAGAATTTTCCCTATGTTTGCACTTGAATACAGTGGTCTTCTGTGTCCTGTTCTTGCTCTGTTGTTGCTATATCTTCACTGTAGCTAAAATGGTTCATATATACATTTCTGGATTTTTTTTTTCCTGTTAAAAGGTGTAATACAGATTAATTATTTTCATCCCAAGCTGCTGCTAGTTCGTTTGTGTTTTAAAAAAAAAGTATTTTGCTGAATTTCCTAATGCTGGGTCTCTCCTTGCTGTTCAGAAATGTTCATTCCCGTTCAGCTGGAAGACCAACCATTAATGTCTTAAAGGAACAAGGTATGTTTTTAATGCATTTTCTTCATCATGGCTTTTGTCAACGGAATTTCTTCAGTTGTGCCATGTCCTCAATTCAGTTTGTGTACATGAAACTCGGGAGGAATAGTGCAGAGATTCTGTATTCATTCTTTATGGGACCAGAGTCCCATTGGAAGCTGACATTGCAGACCTGCTGTAAGCACTGCTAATGATTTGGTTTGCTGCTTTTCTCTGAGGTGCTACAAAGGTGTTGCTCCATGCATTTGATGGGAAGCCATCTGTAGCGATGGAAGGGGTGAAAGCTGGATACTTCTTCTCCATTCCTCCTTCCATTATAAGGAGTGAACAGGTAACATTTAAAGGGGTTTGCTTCTTCTTGGTCCTTGGGGGTTGGAGATAATAGCTGACAAGTTATCATGATGGCAAACATGACTGTTTTCACTGTGCACCTCAAGAATATGCTTGTTTTTTAAGTCTGTACAGTTTGAAGTGGGACTAGCAGTACTTGTGTATGGTTGCTGTCACCTGACACTTCTCAATAGAAGTTTCAGTCACTTATAGCATTTCACATTTTTACTTTGGCTAAATTTCTACTTGGGGCTCTTGCCTTAGCAAGACTTTTGGGGGGAAATTTTGGCTAAAACACTTCAGCTATTCCTAAGAAACAAGGGTTAAGAAAATAGGCTTTTTTTTCTCATTTTAATGTGGTTTCTGGTGAACTCTTCATTGGAGGCTTCTGTCACTGTACTGTTTTAGAGTAGGGACATGACATGTGGAAAAGGACTAGTTTCTATCTCAGTGCACTTTCTGTTCAAAAGGAAACCTGCTCACAATTGGCTAAGTTACAGACCTTTGAAAAATTGTGATTATCACAAGGTGCATCCAGCAAAGAAGCAGCTAAATTGCTTAAATACAACATTGGCCAGGTTCAGCCCATTGATTTAGTGAGACTACTCTTTTAATTTCTACTCTGGGCTGCTGCAAACTATGCTAACTTCTTATTTTGGGATAGCAGTCTGTTTCCATCCTGCACCATCGTCGCTTTCTGTGATAAGCTCAGGAAATGTAAGAAAGGAAAAGGCGTGATTCAAGTGGAAGGGGTGTGGGGGATGGATATAGATAGGAATAAGGTCAGGAACTTGGAGAAAGGAAAGCAAACTGGGATTTAGGGGTAAAAGCAGAGATGGGGAAAAAGGTACACAAATTTTATATATACAGAAAGACAGCAAGTCAAAATGGCATTGGCAACTCTAAATATAGGGTATTTTGTGCAATATAACTACGTGATTTAATAAATAACAATGGATTCAGTGTTCAGATAATAGTACTTCAGATATTTAGAAAACAGCACATAATCCTAATTTGAAGGGGCTTCTTGAGCAGCTCCTGGTATCCTTGCTTCCACTCTGAAATTGTTGATAAAATGCACCAAAGTCTTTTTGACATTGCTTTTAAATGCAGAGGATATCCTCCCTTCATACATTTTTTTTACCACAGGTCTAAGTGCATAAGGTGTTTAATAGCTGTCTTATTTTCTTCAAGAAGCAGAAGCTTGTGAAACTCTTACCTCTGGAAAGTATGTGCTTGGAAACTGACTCTCCTGCTCTGGGGCCTGAAAAACAGGTAAATGATGGGAAGGAACACTTGTATGTGTGTATATCCAAGCCCGCACCCTATGGAACACAGTTACTGACACAAGAGAGTAAAGTTGTATAAGCACGGATACAAGGGATGAAAGAGGTTGACAACTGAAAATTTTGAGATGAACAAGTCAGTATTCCTGAGGCTGGGAAAGGAGAAGCAGGGATGGGCAAAGGGGAAAATAATCCAAGAAGAACAGATACATATAATTTTTCTGGCACGTGTGCCACAACGTGACTGAAGTTGTGTCGGGAAGTACTGAATCTGAAACATCTGTGGTTTGTGGGGATCTGTAATTTGGTCTGTTTGTTTGTTTTCAGGTGAGAAATGAACCAAAAAATATTTACATTGCTGCAGAATATATTGCCAAAATTAAAGGAATTCCAGTTGAAGAGGTTATAGAAAGGACTACACAGAATGCACTGAAAGTATTCCCCAAACTTCGGAACTTTCTTCAGATATAGGTTCAGAAACTGAAATATATGATATTGTAGAAACAATTATTTATGGTGTAATTAATAAAACCAATGTTCATCTTGTCTTAAAGTGGAGTTTTGCTGTTGGAAAGTTCAAGAAGTGAGCAGTGTTCTATAGCTGCATAGTGTGAATATAGGGAATTTCTCAAAGACCTTCGGTATGCACGATTGTCATCTCTTGGATGTGATAAAGACAGGTTGTTCATCTCTCATGTCTCTGAACGAATACTTTGTAAAGAAGAGCACCAGAAAATTGTCAGTTTAGTTTCTTAGACTCTTTGCTCAGCTGCTCCTAGTCTGCGAGATGGCTAATGTGTGGTGCTTAATGTCCCCCTCATTCCTTAATTTCTGCTGATTGAAAGTCACACAGGTGTGGGCCCACTTGTGATATGAAGCTCCTGTTAGGACTTGCAGTGTCCACATCCCTTTCTGAGCCATTAAAAAACCAGCTGGGTGAACGTGCTCTGTGTGTCGTGTTGACTGGACTCTGAGTGGTGCAGAAGCAACACTGATTTCTTTCAAAATACAGTTGGAAGGAAAGAATTACAGCCCGTCTACTTCTCTCCTTTTCCCTTGTATGCAGTAGTTGCTCAGATCCTGGCTATTTTCAGAAGGGTTTGCTGTGCTTTTTTTTGTATTTTATTTTAACTTTTGAATCCTATTCAAAGGAAAAAGCCTGGGTTTGGTCTTATTGCAAGGACTTGCTCTTCTGACAGCTCAGTATCAGGAGATACAGGATATGAAAGGGAGACAAGCCCAGTTTTGTGAGATCTTGGAGCTACCTGTCTGCTGTGGATTCTGCTGTGTTGGCCAGTGTCCTAAAAACTGAATCTTGTGCTCCCTCGCAGCATCTGTGTGGATGTGAGCCTGTTGAAATACTGATCAAAACTTTGCTGACTATAAACCAGCAACGAACAAGGTGAGTTATATACCACACTCAATTGTTCTGAGGGCCACTAGGGAAGCGGAGGGTTTGTCTCCCTTGGGGGAGTTTCACTAGCTCAGTGAAGAAAATAAACAAGTACTAACATAGTCCATGACCACCTTGGGTACAAAATCATGCATCATACCAGCTGATGGTGAGAGCATTTGGGTTTAAGAGTTGGGCATGTGTCTTCTATGTTTCAGGAACCTATGTGATTTTTCAGATTAGACTCCTTCCTGTCTTCCTGGCCAGAGCATCTTGCCAGTTGTCCCTTTGCAAAATGGTTTGTAATGCCCTGTTCTGAAATCATCTGGTGTCGCCCTTCTGGGGTGTAAGGCTGCAAGGCAAGGGGTTGGGTTTTTTTCCTGTTTTGAGGAGGATGCAGGTGGAGAAGGTATCAGCTCCCAGATGGGGGAGGGAGGGCGCAGGGAACAAAAGCTTGTAAGTGATACTCATCTTAAACTTCTGGTTTCCTCTACATTTTCTTCCTCAATTTCTTAGAACCACATTGTCAGAAGGTGGTTTTTTTTTTTACTGTCTTTAGCAGAACAGCTGTGTTACGCTTTTTGCCTAGAGTTAACTTACTGAGTTTAAACATATGTTTCTAAACAGGTTTTGGTGTGCAGCAAACAACCAAACTTGAATAATCTGTCTCTATTACAACATGTATTCGGAGAACCAAACACTTGAATCTTTGCTGAATGTTTGACCCAGAGTAATTAGAGCCATTTTTGTTACCCTGCATTCACAGGTACCATTTCTACTAAATTGGGTGAAGAACAGAGTTTGCCTCCAGATGGTGCTAAGGAACAGGTGTGCAATAGTCTTAAGAATCTTAATGTGATTGACACTAATGATTAATAATCACGTTGTCATCAGAGATGCTAAACAAGTGATACCAGGCAGCCTTACACATGCTTCCTGCTGCCTGTTGACAGGAAGGCTCTCAGTATTGCATGGGAATGCAGTTATGTATGGAGATGCTCCTGGTAAAAAGGCAGTGTCCAAATGTTTGCAGGGTTTTGGCCTTATTGTTATCCTCTGTGAAATTCTTAGCCTTGGATGAAAACACTGGTTTTGCAAAAAGGGGAATATCAAGTATTTAGTCTGCTCAAAATCCCTCTCTCTGCAAGGGGGTAACATTGCTGTGGTTCAGGCCTAGCCTGAACCTGGCCTGAGCTCTTGCATCCCTTTTGCTGCTGCAAAAACCTGTGGACACGCTCACGTCCTGCAGCTCCCAGCTGGGCAGGGCACTGCCGAGGGCGGCCAGCCCGGGGTGGGCCGTGGGGGGCTCCGTGGGGCAGCAGGTGCCCCTTGTCACTGCAGCAGCAGGGCCCAGAGGCGCTTGCGGTGGTGCGGGAGTGTGGTTGGGGCTGGGGAAGGAGGCATGGGGTTGCTTCCCCCCGGGCCAGAGAAGCCTGGTGTTGCAGCAGCCGTGGGTAGGGCAAGCCTGGCAGCGTGCCCGTGGCAAAACAGACAGATTTTGTCCTCTCCTTAGACCTGCGGCGCCTGAGCTGAATCATGGCGTAGGTGGCTGGGTGCTCCACAAAAGGAAAATGCAGTGTCATTCCCACTTGGTCTTGGCATCCATTATGCCAAACAAGGGTCAGAAGTAGCACCCTTTCCCCGGTGCCGTTGGTTTTGCAGAGTGAGCTGTGCCCCAGCTCCCTGCAGTCAGCGCCAGAGCGGGCAGCAGGCATGGAAAATAAAGTCGTTGCTTTGTGCAGGAAACCCAGCTCTTTAAGATGTTCACTGGGACTGGTGGTAGCAAACGTACGGGGCGAGGAAGTGTGGTTTCCGAGTGGGAAAACATCGTTGATCCCTCAGCAGTCATCCTGTGCCTTTACCTTGAAAGGGGAAATTACTGAAGAGCTTGCATTTCTGCCTGCAGTCCCAGGCTAACGCGTGGTCTGGAGGGGGTCAGGAAGGCAGGGTGGCTCGTGGGGTAGCCATGGCTTCACGCCGTGAAACCCTCCATCCCCACAAAAGCTGGCTTTAGCAATATCAGTGTATGTGCTGAGCTCTGTTGCAGCCTCTCAGGTTGTCTGGACAAGCCATGTCCCTTCCTACATAGTATAGCACACTGGAGTGTCCAGGGACGTAGTGGGGGAAGGAACCAGTGCAAATTTAGCTGGATGCCATGTTTAGCTTTTGGGAACCTGAAGGGAAATGAGAGAGAAGGCACAGAGTTAGTGGAGACCCAAGTTTTCTTTTCAGTCGTGCCATTGATTTTGGAGGACACTAACAGGCGCAGTGACCTCTGTCTCAGAGATGGAATGGCACAGATGGTCTGCAGCAGTATGGAAAGCAGTAGGTCCCAAGCTCCATCTGATACCTTCAGCCATCACCTTTCCCTGGGATGCTACTAACAGCAGATCTGATTGCACTTTGTGTGGCTCCTCGTGTCTCTTTATCTTTCAGGATGTACATGATGTGATAGAAAAATCAGGAAAGGTTTGTGATTCTTTGGCATAATTAGTGCCTTCAGAGTGCCTTGCTTGTTAATCAGTACTCTGTTTTTTGATGCAGCTCTGGCTGGTATGGCTTCTGCCAGAAAAGAAAGCCTCATGTCGCTCGGTTCTTTCCAGGCTTAAAATAGTGCACGCAGATGCCCTGTGTGCACTAGGGACTCCCACACGTGGAAGGGCTTACAGTGAGTGCATAGCTTAACACCAGGCACAAATAATGAGGGGGATGCAGGGTGACAGTAAGAATGTGAAGGTACTTTCCACAGGCTGAGAGGTGGAGCTTGTAGATCTAGAGAGCTTCTAAAGTGCATCTGCCTGTTGATAGAGACAAAATAGTTGACGAACCTATGCCATCAATGGCTACCAAATCACACAGAGGTGCTTTGCACCTTCCTTGTTCAGTGAGCACCTTGAATCAGTAGCAGGGGCTGGAAGGACACTGAAATTGCAACTCCTTGGCTGGCTGGTGTCGTCACCCTTTTGCCACCCATGCCAGGCTGTTTGCAGGAACGAGACTGAACTGATCTTACTTGAAGGCCAAGTGACTTGCAAGAGTGAAGTGGGTGAGTGGGTATAGTAGAACTAAAACGTTCAGCATAAGTCACTTGAACGCCTCAGATCCTGGAAATCCCCTCTGAGTTCAGGACCAACAGCTAAGGGTCTGTCTAAGGGCTCTCTCTGTGCTCACTCAAATAGTTTTTGGAGGGCTGCTGGTAGATCATCCTCCCAGGGCCTTTCTTCTGAAATTTGTTTCTAGTCATGGACTAACAGGGCCTGAATCTGCTGAACTCTGGGACAAACTGCGAGGGTGATGAGTTTTTCCAGATTTCGACATGGGAACAAGCAGGGAGATGGCAATGAGGCCAAGTGGGTGATATACTGTTTAATCCTGCTGTTTATTGTGGTAAGAGTTTAAACAAATTGACCAAAGACTTTTGCTGGAGGTGCTTCCAACAGGCTCCTATGCAATGCATAGATAGGCTCTTTAGAGCAAAAGCAAATAAATAATTGGCTCAAATGCAACTTTCATCACTAATGAACTCCTGGTTTTGTTTGTTTTTTCATTAATGCAGGCTGGGGTTCAATCCTCTGTTCCCATTACAGAGCAGGAAAATGAATTTGAGTCACTGGCTTAGCAGAGAGGTTTGTTGTTCTTCTCTTTGCTTTCTATACCCAGTACAAAGATACAGCTGAGATCAAAGAAAGGATACAAATTGCCATAGCACCTAGTTGTCTCAGTGTTTTCCTCGTCAGCAGGTGGTTATCCATCCATTCATTTCCCTGCTGGGGTTGGCATTTCTATCAGTGTGAATCGGTTGGGACATGGGCATGATAACCTGCCGTGCAGTGAGTGCAAAGTACCCTCTGCAGGGCCTGGCAAATTTTTATGCCCCTCTTTGAGCTGCTGTGAATGACAAAACAGCAAGAAAACATAATGAGGATCACAGCCATGATGAACCTGTGCCTGGGGCAGGAACTGATACTCATCTCCTCAAATGCTTGGTGCTGTGCATAGAGAGATGCTGCCAACCGGGTGCTTAATGCAAACACAGGAGATCAGTGCCACTACTGCACCAGGGTCTGCTGATGAAAATGGTGGTGTGGTTCACCTGAAAAAGCAGAAACAATGAGGCACTGGGACAAGGAGTCTGTAGGAGCAAGGTGTAGTCCCTCTCTGCCCTAGAGAACAGCATAAGGAGCAGTGGTGGCATTTGGCTTGGCTGCCGCAGAGGGCTTTGCTGCACAGAGCCACTGGTGCGTGGAGTGCTCATCGTGTAGCCATTGCGCAGATGGCATCAAGGAACTTAAGGCAA